TGCGCAACACATGAATACCCAAACAGAGACAGAGATCACTGTCTGCCGAAGACTGTGGACTTCCTCTCCTTCGAGGACCCCTTAGGCATGGCTCTGACGGGCACAGCTCTGAGTTTCTCTGTCCTCACAGCTGTGGTTTTGGGGCTCTTTGTGAAGCACCGAGACACTCCCATCGTCAAGGCCAACAACAGGACCCTCAGCTACACCCTGCTCACCTCCCTCCTCCTGTGCTTCCTCTGCGCCTTGCTCTTCATTGGCCGACCCAACACAACCACCTGCATCCTGCAGCAAGTAACATTTGGACTCGTGTTCACTGTGGCTGTTTCTGCTGTTTTGGCCAAAACCATCACAGTGATTCTGGCCTTCCTGGTTACAAAACCAGGGGAAACAATCAGGTGGTTCCTGGTATCAGGAGCCTGTAATTGTGTTGTCCCCATCTTCTCCCTGATCCAAATTATTCTCTGTGGAGTCTGGCTGGGAACTTCTCCTCCATTTATTGACTCAGACACACACTCTGAACATGGCCACATCATCATCGTGTGCAACAAGGGCTCCCTCACTGCCTTCTACTGTGTCCTTGGATACCTGGGCTCCCTGGCCCTGGTGAGCTTCACCGTGGCTTTCCTGGCCAGGAACCTGCCCGACACGTTCAATGAAGCCAAGTTCCTGACGTTCAGCATGCTGGTGTTCTGCAGTGTGTGGGTCACCTTCCTCCCCGTGTACCACAGCACCAAGGGGAAGGTCATGGTGGCCATGGAGGTCTTGTCCATCTTGGCCTCTGGTGCAGGGCTGCTGGGCTGCATTTTTGCCCCCAAGTGCTACATTATTCTAGTAAGACCTGATAAGAACTCTTTGAGAAGTTTAAAGAACAGAAGGAATTTTAGTGGAAACAGGCATTCTGAGAGTTTCTAATTACATAAATATCTATCACATTTTAAGGATGTAGACCACAAACCTACCTGTATTTCGTTCTAATGTTCTAAGGACAAAACTAAGGTTGTGTGATCATCTTTTGCCCTCCAGCCTTGCTTCTACTATATTCCTCTCTTTATTTATCTGCTTTATCCACTATACCTCTTAAATTTCCCTACCACAGGATAAAACCATCCTACCAGGAAAAACGTTTTCCATACAACCTCCCAATTTATGTTGGGTTTTGTTATATAACTGTAGATCTTTCTCCTATGGTTAAAGGTACCAAATTAATAGCTACCAGTTGGTCAGTTTCTAAACCATGCTTGATGCTATTGTTATTGCTAATTGTACTACTTTAGCTTGGAAAACATACCTGCTGTAATTAGTTGTTCTCCCTTGT